CGGTCTCACAAGCTGGGAAAATTCTTTAATAGCTCACACAGATATTCATACACACACACAGTCTCAGAGTCGGTACAAAATGGTTGTGCAGACTGAAGTAAAATTGAAACAACCTTGAGGAATGCCGGAGCAAAACACACACACACAAGAAGCACCCCCTCACAAACACAGACACAGTGTTGCAGACTGAGAGGCAAAAGTGTCTGGCAAAATGTCTCGACTCGACTCCTGAATTTCCCAGAGTCTCCCCTCTGTGACCGAGACTCGTTGGAAGTCAAGGCTTTTGAGCCTTGCGACGACAAGGCTGTCCTTGTTGAGCAGCAGCAGCAGCAGGATAAGGAAGGAGTCACAGTGGGAGATGGTGAACCCTCTCTCTCTCCTCGACTTTCCAGACAACTTGTGCACTTTCGCTTTTTGGCCTGGCCAAAACTGCACATGATGCTACTCTGTTTGCTACAGCTTCTGTGCCATATTTAACAAATTATCTGTAATTTCTCGAGAGCAGGCAACATCAACTTTGGGGGCTTCGGCTCGACTCAACTGGCATCTTCCCGCCGAGCGTGAAGCCAATTGCTGGGTCAAAAGCTGTTGCCAGCGATTAACCCATTGGTTGGAAATGGTTTCATATCAGAAATATCATAAACTAAAACTTAATAGGTGTATTTCCCAGAAGGTTCTTTTAAGATTAAAGTCTCCATATAATTTCAATAGAATAATGAAAACCCTTAGTAAAATTCTCACAGATCAAGGTAAAGAATAAAGTTTAAGACAACAACTTTTGGTAACTAAATCTTCTGGAGAACAAGGAAACATAATCCTTAACCAAAAAAAAATTAAAAATTCTATATATTATTTAACCAAACTAGAAACTATTCCTGAAGAGCCTTGAAACCTATATATCTCCTAAAAATCTCCCACTAAAGCACTCTCATGACATGGACATAAAAACCCCCTATTAAATCCGGCACCTCAACGGGTTAAGACGGCGCCAAACCACTTGTCAAGATGGCTAACGGCAGAGTGGCTGCTAACTGTTGAAGGGGCTTGGCACAAGCACAAGTGGAATGAGCGGAAAGGAAAGGCAACCAGGCAGCCAGCCAACAAACCGGCAAACCAACCAGCCAGGATTTTGGGCTACAAGCAGCCGCAAATGCTTAACTTCAGACACATCCAAAGAGGAGGAGGGGCCCAAAGTGGGATCAGGACTAGGACGAGGACGACAAGGAGTCGGAGTCGGAGTCAGAGTCAGAAATAGAAGGAAGACAGACAGCAGGCGGCAACCACAGGCGAATTGCTGGCAAGGACGAAAGGCAGGACGAAAGGCAACTGCCGTCGCTGGAAGGAAGTTGTTTGTGGGTCGCAAATTCAAGGCTGACCGAGAACGAGAACGAGATGGAGACCGAGACCGATACCGAGACCGAGAATGAGACTCTCGACCCTTTTGGCTCTCCTGTTGCTCCTGTGCATCCTCAAACCCTCCTCCTCCTCCTCGTCCTTTTGGTCCTTTTGACATCCTCCCCAGTAAGTGTGTGTGTGTGTGTGTTTGTGTGGGTGTCTCACAAGATGAAAGCCACTTGCCATTCATGGCCAGTCGAGCGGCTGGTCTCGCCTTGCTCGTTGGCTTCGCCGCACTAAGAGAAAATTTTGGAAAGAACTGGTTATAATATTACTACTTAAAAGTGTTTAAATGTATTACAAGAAAATAATGAAATATAAGTTAAATTTATAATGATATTTCTTATCCTTGATAAATGTTTTAGGATCTTTCTTGAGACCAAAAACTCATCTCTCTAGGAAGTATAACTTATCCAATTTTGCTGACAGCTTTTTATAGATTTTAGTCAAATTAAACCTTTGTTCCACCTTTATCAAATCTCCTTGAATTTTCTCTCAGTGCTGGCTTTTTGCTTGCTACCCAACGGGTGGCCGGCAAAACTGCTCCGGAATGACCTTGAGCATTACAGATGTACGCTTGTCCCCTTGGTCTGCTGACTGTGTCCGGGACTTTCCCTCCTTTTGGGCTTCTCCTATTTATCTGCAGTCTGCAGCTAAGGATGCTGGACGATGTTCAGGATGCTTTAGGTGGGGGGGGGGGGAGGAAGGATCAAAAGGGACTCCAGAGCGAGGAGCAGACCGAGTTTTGCATCAAGTGCAAAGTGATGTGTTAAGCTGTTAAGTGCCAAAGTAATTGTTTTCTTTCACCAACAACAACAACAGTTGCAGCAGCAGCCACATGGAAAGCGTGATGGCTCCGCTTTCACTTGCCCCTTGACCTTGAGTAGTTCTCTGTGTTCGTGTGAGCCTTAATTTGTGACTTTTGCGAGGGGAGAAAGGAGGCCTTGTTGTTGTGCCAGAAGTTGCACTTGCTTTTTTGGGAGGGGAATTAAGTGAATTATGTCTTCGAAATTGGGGTCAACAGTCTGTTGCTGAGGAGCTGCAGTTGCAGGAAAAGAGTTAAGACAAGTTCATTTTCCTTAACGCCTTTTTCTGGCAATGTTTTTATTTATCAATGTATGCTGGAAAGCTAATTACATACAAGAAAATTCATCTCATCTATTATACCGTTTTAGGGTATTATAACTCCAGTCAGAAGCTTGTAACTCTTGAAGGAGTCATTTCCGACCCTATAAATCATATATATTCTTGATCAGCATCGAAAGCTGAATCGATCTAGCAATGTTCGGTGGAAATAAAAATTTCAAAAATTTTTTCGACATTTTTTTTATGTTTTTTTCCCTTAAAAAAACTGTCAAAAATTTGAAAAAATTTAAATTGTATATAATCTTACATTGAGTATGCAGATTAATTAACCTTAGAAAATCTAGCATAAAACAGCTTTCCGATTTGAAATTAATGATATTTTGACCAAATTATGATTAATTTTTGATTCGATATATTGACCTAATCGCCATACATATTTCGGTTTTCCTTACAGGGTATAACTAACTAACTAACTAACTAACTAACATTGGAGTTCTTTCCGAATTTAAATTAATGGTTTTTTGGCTAAGTTATGAGATTTTTAAATTTTGATTTTTCGAAAAAATTGGCATATTAAAATTTTCATTTAGATTTCAAGAATATGAATATTTCAGGACTTCCTAAGAGCATAAAATGGCCAAACAGCCAGTGATTGCAAAAAGACATGTATATTCACATTCAGCATTAAATTATTAATCAATTAATAATAAAATATTGAGAAAAAGAAAATTTAAAATTTTTGACTAATTTTTAATATTTTAAAAGGGTTAAAATTGTCAAAAAAAGTTCGAAAAAATTTAATATTTTAAATGTTTAAACTGAATACGCAGATTTATAATCCTTATAAAAACTAAGAAAAGTCTGCTTTCCGAATTGAAATTAAAGCTTTTTTGCCTGAGTTATGATAAATTTCCTATTTGAAGTATCCGAAGGCAAACTTCAAGGGCTTCTCGAACATAGCTTTCTTGAATTTATTTTAAATCCCATTTATTTAAATTAGTTTTATTGCTAACTAAGCCTCGAGAATATTTATCACACCCAAGAATCCTTTAGCGATTGTCCTGTTCCATTTAAGAAACCATTTCATACCTACCAATGAATTCCCTTCTAAATGAACCCTTTGAATATTCATTGCCTTGGAATAATTGTGATTTATTCCCTGACTGCCCACTTTTTAAACCATAAATAAAACATAGAACAACGGTTGACATTTAGTTTTTCAATTTCATTTTTATTTTCTGTTTATTATTGTATAATTTATTGTTTAACTAAACGCTTCTTTAGGGGTAGATAATAATAATAATAATAATAATAATAGTTCACTCACAGAGTACGGACAATACATATGCAATATCTGACAGTCGAGTAATTGTGTGGGTGTGTGTACTTTGTGCGAGTCGAGTGTGTGTAAATGTGTGTGTATTTGTTTACATAAAATTAGCACAAATTTAATGTGATGCTGCCTTTGCGTTTGTTTGCTCATTCATTCATTTACAATGTTACAATGCTACAAGTACGATTACGATTACGATTACGATTTACGATTTACGATTACGATTTACCATAGAAGAAGTGTGCTGCAAAGGGTTTCCTGGGGGGATTAAGTCTAAGATTAAGTCAAAGCCTAAAGCTATGGAAATTTGTACATTATTTACAGTTACATTTGGAAATACCATTTAATATAAGTATGTGTATGTGCTGCGTATAGGTATGCACTTCTCTATCCATGTGTGTGTGTGCTTATTTATCTTAAATTATTTGCTTTTATTTATATGTTATTCTATATATATCTTTATAAAGTTGTAATTACCAGATTTGACAACATTCAGTGTGTATGTGTGTAGTGTGTATCTCTAGGGTTAAGCTACATTTAAGAAATGCACAAGTCTCTAATTGTAAATGTAATTGTTTTGCGGTTACATTTAATCGTTACACCTATTTATTTATTATTAATATTATTATTATTTTTCGCGTGGCAAAAAAAGGCAATCAACGCAACGAATTATTATCTTTCGAAAATAAATAAGACAAAGTACGAGATCCTATCCTTACAGGAAAGTTCCGAAGTATGTATGTGTTGTGTGTGGGTTGTGCTTTATTAATAATAGTTTAATACTTTTATACCTTCCTCGATGCGATCTCTAAAAACTAGCCTAGGCATAAAAACCAGTTAGCAACTTCAACTAAGCACTAAACACTAAAAACGTTGGGGGTTTCAAGTAGCAGTCCAAATGTATTTTTTGTGTGTATTTTCTTTGTGTGTATTTCTGTGGCTTTTTGGGGTGGTTCTTGTTTTTTAAGGGTTAAAAATTCTTTAGGCAAGTAATCGCTGGTTAATTTAGAAGAGTTGTTACTATTATTTTAAAGTTTTAAAAAATATTTCAAGTATTGTTCTTGGATTTTTTGTTATAGATTTTTTTCTAAAGAAATATTTTTAGCTTTGGTATTCTTTTTTTACTGCTTGAACAAAATATTTTAAAGAATTTTGCTACTTAAAAATAATATATAGTTTTTAAAGAACTAAAAATGGAAAAGGAAAGAATACGAAGAATACAAGTAAAACCATAAAATAATTAGTTTTTGGCTATATGTTCTTCTTTAAATTAAAAAAAATTATCAAAAAATACCATTTTCCTTGGCTTAAAAAAGCTATTGCAACTATTGGCTAAAATTCAAGTTAGCCAAAAGTATTTTTTTAACCATTTTTAAATGAAGAAATTAATCCCAAATAATATATAAACCCAACTACTTACTCTTTATCCAACGATTACCTGGCTTTCCCTGTGAATTTACCCCAAAAATGTTTGTGTTTAAAAATTGCCCCACCCTGGATCCACCATGCCCCAGTTGCCATTCCCCGGGATTCAATCCTCGTGTGGCAACTCGGCGGCATGTTGCTGCTCCAGCTTGATCTTCATCAGTGGTGATTCTCGTACAGGATTCACTGGTGGCGCATAGGCAGCCGCCGCAGCTGCCGCAGCAGCTGCATCTGGATTGGCAAAGAGTTCACTCATATCCTGTCCTGGTCCCGGAAAGAAATCCTCGAAACGAGGACTCTTGGTCACCGATTTCTGGAGCAAACCATTGGCAATTGCCTCAAAGTCAATGCCGGCGGGCAGGCTCTCCAGGAAGCGTTTATTATAGGCGCTGGCCTGATGCTTGGCATAATGAGCGGCGGAGTAGGGAGAGGCGGCGCCGGGTCTTTGGCTGGCGGTCAGGGATTTGGCGCTACCGGAACCGGAACTAGAGCCACGCGACTGACTGCCGTACTGGCGGGATAGCTCACGCTCTCTTTCCCTTTCCCGGGATAGCTCCCGATCACGTTCCCGCTCCCGGGATAACTCGCGAGCATAGGAGGCGGCACTATTGGGCGCAGAGCCACTCGCTCCTCCACTGGATCCCCGCGAGGGCATCACATTCAGACCGGGCAGACCCATCAAACCCAGAGCCGAGAGATCGGGCATATTCTCTGCTCCCCGTCGCTCCGATCCCTGCTGTTGCGGCTGCTGCTGGTGTTGCTGATGCTGATGCTGCTGATGCTGCTGATGATGCTGATGCTTGGCCGCCGCTGCAGCAACTGCCGCTGCTGCGGATACTTGATCCTCGATCTCAGAGCGTTGCAAATAAGCCGGTGACTTGTACATATTCATGGACTGACCATGGGGCGACTGTTGTGGGTGGTGTGACGGTTGCTGTTGGTGGTGCGATTGTGCCTGATGGTGGTGCGCCTGCTGCTGCTGTTGATGCTGCTGCTGCTGGGAGAGAATCTGACGGCGCAGGGTCTCTGTCATGGAGCTCAGCGGACTGCTAGCATCCGGTGGAGCAAGTGCAGCATTCTGGGCGGCCATTTTGGCAGCGGCAGCGGCACTGTGATAGCCATTTGAGGCGGAACCAGCGCCAAAGTGGGACTAAAAAGGTTAAGAAAAAGAAATAGGGGAAGAAAGTAAGTTAAAAGGGGGGTTAAAGGGTGAACAAGAGGTTTAAAAATGTTTAAAAAATATATGAAACATCTCTATGCTTTTTTGGGAAAATATTCTAACATTAATTATGAATTCCCTTCGATGAAAATCAGGTAAAACATTGGAACATGTTCCAAACACAGCCATTATGTATACACATAAAACTACTACAACAAAAAAATCTCAGACCTTGGTGTTTCGAAAATAATATAATTACATTTTTTTGTTTACACAAAACAAATTCCACCAAACTGAAATATAATTAGTATTGAAATTCATTCTGCCCAAAGCGATAAATGTTTATTTTTATGTCTTTGCTTTTCAAATAACATTAAATCGAGCTAAAGAAAACAAGCTCTTAAAATATTTATACCTTTTTCTGATTAACAAAATTATTATTTTCTAACCAAAAAGAAAGAATAAGTAAATAAAAGAAATACTTACACCATGTGCCTGTCCATTGGCATACTGATGGGCACTCATATCCTCTTTGATTTCACGATAATCCCTAAAGACCACCGCCTTGATGACGCTGCGTATGAGCTCCTCGGGCCACATGCCCAGCAGGATCCTTTGAGGACGACCCCTGGCCTTGGGCCTAGGATCGGCACCGCCATCTAGCGAAGGTCCCAGCATATTATGAACTCGATTGGCATATAGAACGAATGTGGGATATGGGATGTCGTATTTTCGAGCAGCCTGCGATAGGGATAAACCCTCCTTCAGGACACTGAAGATGGCCTCGGCCATGGCCTCTGGTCGCCAGGACTTTAAAGGACCTCGCTCTCTAAATCTCAGCTGTTGCACTAGGTTCTGTTGATTGGTATTCCAGCATTTTTGCCACATGGATTGCAACTGATATTGATAGCTATCTGCTGAAAGGAATACATGATGTGGACATTATGAAAAGGCTGAAATGGAAATCCTTTTTGTATTTAGCTGAAACTTACCCGCCACTGAGGCAGCACCGGTGGCAGCCGCTGCAGCACCCATCCAGCCATGGCCACCACTTTCAATCATTTTGGCCTGGAATTAATAGGAAAAGAAAGATTGTTAGTTATATATATTTAATATTTAGTTAAATATATCTATTATTCCTTTCTTTAAGAAATCCCTGCTACAGGAAACTAATCTATTTCCTTACCGTTTCACGACTTTCAAATAATTATCAAACTTTGCATAACGGGTATCTGTTTTTCCTACCAAACCGATAGTTTTTCCCCCTACTGTCTTAAGGCCGCCTTGTGACATTTGCACACGAATTGTGGCTGGCCGTAAAAGTTTATGAATGCCATAAATGTTGCCTTAGCATTTTCGTATGCAAAGCGCTAAAAGGAGGAGCCTCCTTGCCACCAAAAAAAAAAAGAAGCAAATTAGTATACAAAGTGGGGCTATCCGGGGAAACCCATTGTCTTGGGCGGCTGCCCCCCCTTTTTTTTACGGCTCTGAATATACAAAAAGCCATTTATTTATTGCTATTATTAGGTATTCAGAGGGAGGAATGGAGGAAAGACTATGTGCCGCTTAATTGAGCCTAGCTTTTAACCCTAGCGGTTGTATTAATCAGTTGAAACCTGGTACGAAAAAACCACGCTGGCCATTTAGGGGTTAACCCGGGAGAATCTCAATTTTTTGTGTGTATTTTTCCAGTTTTTTTTTTTTTTAGTTTTTTTAATGTTAATGCCACATAGGAAAAGTTAAATTGATGCACGTTTCGTGCCATGGCCGAAACAGAGGCTCTGGCCATAAAGCCCTCCTTTTTGGCCAGCTTTGGCCACGCCTCCTTGGTGCACGTAGCCATGCATTTTATATGCAGGGGCGTAATACAAATTATGTGCAGCGAGCATGAGCCAGAGGCAGCAGAAAAAAACTACAAAAAAAAACATAATAAGTTAAGCAAAAAATTATCCAGAGAAAAAATAATAAAACAACATAAAATATATGTATATAAAACAAAACAGGAATCCGGTTAAAAGGGGTTTGCAGCGCATAAAGAGAACATATAATGCAAGTCTTAAATATTTGAGGAGTAGGCTAGTCGCTGAAGAACCATGGAAAATGGGGAAAACTCCATGCCTGCATGCCAAGGAAAAAGGTCATAAAACGTATGAATAATTGAAATTGAAAAGTCGGAAGCAATTTTTTCTTTACAGGCGGCACTACTCTGTGGCTCTAACTATAACAAATGCGGCCGAGTTGCAAACAAAATGGCGTTAAAAATGCTATTTTATGTAAAACACTTTGTTAATGATGCCATCTTTTCTTTTTATGTGTGGGGGTTGAATTATGGCAGGCAGTGTAAAGACTTTTGTTGGTTGTAAATATGTGAGTAACAGGATTGCAAAGGAGGTTCAATATCTGGTAGAGTTTTGAATAATTACTGCATAATTTTAAGGTTTATGTATCTATTGGGGTTTTCTAGATTTTTATTTGTGGAATAAGAAGTTATATATTAATAAGTTAAGTTAATATTTATATAAAATTTTGAGCTTGAAAATATTTACTTATTATTGAAAACTGCATAATTTTCAAATTTTTTATCCTATTGAAGTTTTGTAAATATAAACTAGTGAAATATAAAATTACATAATCATACAAATAGCTAAATTTGAAAAGTTTCCTGCTTTAATGTATCTTTATTATAATGATGTTCTCAAGTTTCTTGAAATTAATATAAAATTTCAAAGTATTTTCATGGAATGTCTTGCAATATTTTAATGTAGACATTTTCCCTACAATATTCCTCTGCAATTTTCCTTATATGTATATGTTTTTTTTATATAATATATTTTAAACTCTCCCATCTCTACAATTACTCTACAATCTCGGATATTAATCAACAAGCACCACCATCCTCCCCTCTCTCTGTCAGAGCCATTTATTCAGTCTGAGGGCGATTATAAAACTCTCGCATAGTACAATTCATATAATAAAATATTACGAGCTCTCTGCTCTCTCAAAAATGTTTAATTAATTAAATTTTCAATTCCCCTTAGCTGGCAACTGGCACTACCCCGCATATCCCCTCTCCTACCGCCATTCTTCACAACAAAAACAAATTTGAAGTGTGCGCGCATTCAACTTTCTTTCAACTCATTTAATTTAATTTGCGGAGCTTCGCTGCTGCCTTGGCTTTGGCTTTTCCTTCTTCTACATTTTCCCCCAAACCCTCCTCTAGATTCTTCCTCTTCGTCTTCTGCTTCTTGCCAATTACTCATCGTGTGCACGCCCCATTCACATAATAATTTATTTAATTAACTTTTCCGCTGCTACAAATTTCTATAAAAATTTATTGATTTTCGTGGGCTCCGCGCTCGAGTAAAAGAAAATATTTTTCGTGTAGCCTTCAATACTTTTCTATATATTTTTTTTATTTGCAGCACTCCCACTCCCAGAAGAGATCCAGCTATATATATATATATATATATATATTATATATGGAATTTCTATAACTTTGTGTAGTGAGTGTGTGTCTGTTGGTAATAAAATATAAATTTATAACACACCCTCTCTACACACACTCGCATTTGCCATCAATCCAAATGCATAGACTCGACCCTCCTCACTCTCTCTCCCTCTTGCCTTTCAACAGCCTTCAAGTTTTCACTACATCGCGGGTTAACTTCCCCCCCTGCCCTCTGGAAAAGGAGGGTTTTTCCCTACCCCCCTCTTTTGGCTGTAATACCCCTTGGATTCTAATGCAATTTTAATTTTATTTTTCAAGCGCGCACATAAACTCGGCGGCAGTAGTACTTCCACCCAACCTCCTTCCGCGCGTTAGGAAAAAGCACTAAAACTACACCTTCCTCCCCCTGCCTAGGCATGTCCTTTATCCTTTAGCTTCCCCCGTACCCCCCACCCACACCAGCTTAAAAACTCCCCCTCCCCCATTTTCCTTATTATTTAGCTCCTTGGAACTTTTGCCTGTAGTTTTCTTCCTTGGTGTTTTTGCTGTGTATATTTCTTATATTATATAACACTTTATTTATTATTCATTTTCGATTCGTGTTCCACCGTGGTGGCGTCTCAAGTTTGTTATTTCTCTTGTCTGCAACTTGTGCTCACCACAAACCCCCAAACCTGCCCCCCTCTATACTTAAACCACCCCCTCAAAGCTGTCTTAACCCCTGACTGCCCCATTGCCCCATCGAAGCCATCCCACCCACCCCACTTGTGCGTCACAACTACACGGAACCTTGCCATTTCCTTTTGGGGTTTTTTGGTGTACGGGAAAAGCTCTTACTTTTCCTGAGCGCCTGTTCCCTTTTAGCCTTCACTATTACTACTGCCAACTAGTTTTCTCTCTCTAGCTCTTTGGTTGGCCAAGTTTTTCCGCTTTTCCGCCTTACCTTCTCCACGCTCTATCTCTCTTTGTGAGTGGGCTCTGCTCTGCCTGCTGGTTCATTCATTTATTTGTATTACTCAGCCAGTCACACGCATGCCACCCACAGAACACCCAACACCCCCAAGAGGAACCAACAACCTTGGTTGGTTGTCTTCCTCGGAAGTGGCTCCTGTTATTTTTGCATTGCAAAAATTCAAAACAAAACTTAATAATAACTTAAGAAACAATTATATTAGAAATTGCAGTAGGTTTCATACAGTAAATATTAGTTTATGGTTTTCTATCTATTAAAAATATTTAAGTTTTAATTTTCATTAACTTGTTTAGGGTTTCTTTTGGTGTAGCCGCACCTCTTTTGTTTTATAGTTGTGCCTGGGACATCCATTAATTTTATAAGACGCCAGAAATAATTCATTTAAGAATGTCTGTCTTCTGGCTCCCGCGAGGCCACAATTATCGAGTCCAGGAGACCTGACACTTTTCATTGGGGATACCCGCGAATCGATTTGCATTTTTATAAATCCCATTCCATTCCCAGGTCACCCGAATTTCTAATGACACCTTGTTCCTTGCTCCCACAGAAAAGGCTCCTTCTTTTCCCTTTTATTTTGCCGCAAGACAAAAACGTCGACGTTGGCGGCAACTAAATATTTAATAGTATTTTATTGCACGAATTTCACATAAAATATGCATATTGGCCAAATGCATTATTCATGGGAATAATGTGAAAAACACATTTCGCCGAGGCGCCCAACAGAAGGGAAAGCTACTGGTATATATAGATACTTCTTGGGTATACTGGTTTATATATATATAAACATGTATATACTTGTATTGGAATATAATGAAATGCAAGAGAGCTAAGCAACAACAACAACAATAATGGTGGCCATAAACAATTGCACTTGTGGAAATGCTGTCCAAGGAATTGCAGGGGCAACAGCAAAACCGGCAGCAACAATAATTGTAGCAATCATAAAGCCAAGTGCGAGTGCATGAAGCGAGCTTCAAACCCCCTTTTGCCTTTGGTCTTTCTTTCTGTTTTTTAACCTATCTACACACACACACACTCGCTGAAAGTTTTGTTTGCCACAACAACAACAGCAAATAGCAACTCACCTACCAACAATGGCAACAATAATTTAAATGTAATAAATAATTATACGCCAAGTGTTGAGTGCAACGTGCATTGAGGTGTGTCAAGTTGCCGACTAACCAGCAACACCAACAAACTGCAACAACAGCTACAACAACAACTACACCAACACCAACAAATGCTAACAACAACAAAAACAGATGCAACAACATCAACCGCAGCCGACAACAGAAATTGCTATAAAACATTCAAATGGGCCGCCAACTTCTTTCAGACCCTCCGAAAAAATACCGCGCAATCCGAGGCGGCACCCGTTTCTTCACCCTTCTGATGTGTGTCCTGCCCAACGCCCCTGGCCCAAGTCCTGGGCTTCATTGTTGACCCCTTCTCCGAAAAAAAAAGAAATAAAGGTTGTCTTGCCCTACGCTATCCTGTGAACTCAGGACGTAACTCGGACATTGGGAAAGGGCAATTCAGACAGAGATGACAACGTGACACGAATTGTTTATGAAATAAATAAATTTAAGCTAAGAATTGTATTATTTGATATTTATATTATTTGAATGATTTATAAACCTTCTATAA